GGTAACTCGGGTAAATACTAACTATAATATATACTATACTATATATACTATATANATATATATATATACTATATATATATATATATATATATATATATATGCTTGTACGAATGTGAAGTTCTACAAAGATGCTCAGGACGAAACATACCTGGTATACAGTATAACATATATGCGTGTGCGTCAAAACGCAGTGCGACTGATTATAATTTTATTGCACCGAAGGCCTGCCTGTATGGGTATCCTGTACACTTAAAATGCAATGAAAGTACGTTCAAACTAATTTCTGACCCGTTTCACAGTTGGTCGTTGACTATGTTGTACATTATCCCTTGTGTGTTCATATACTTGTATGTAAATATATTGAACATGCCAATAAGTATGGACACTGATCCTGCGAGTCTAAGTGGTATACCTGCATCGGAGTATCAGAAGTGTCCTATGCATGCCAAAGAATCGTTGCTAAAAAACATCCGCGTCAACCACATAACGGGACCGAGGAGTGTATAAGATACTAATATTGTAATATGCACATATTTATAATACTATGCGCATATTTATACAAATAATAAACAGCAACCAAGAGAGAGTAAACAGCGGCTAATATTGTACAAACATACATAGTATGTAATAATAGGCGTAATCTTGTGTTTGAAGTCTTTTGTCGTAAATAACTACATATTCACATCAATAATATTTACATATCGAGGCCAGACTAGGGGCTGCTCTGCCAGACTGCGCCTCTGCCACTCTGCGACTGCCACTGACCTGAGAGGCTGAGCCCTCAGCCCTCCCTACTGACCCACTCCGCAGTCCCCGCTAGAGTTTTTACATAGCCCTCTAAATAGATTGACAGTGGGTGAGAGGGTGTGAGCCTGAGAGCCTGAGAGGGCTATGGTTTCCAGTTTTGATTCGCAAACGTCCAAATTAGGCAGTAGCAGAATTGCGCGGTCCACAGTTTCACTTTATTTTTTTAAACAAAAAATATAATTAACGACGTAGGTGATTGTGAACCGAGCCCAGGCTGAGGGCCTGAGGTGATATAACATTGCGCACACGACATATGGGAAGTCCGGAGTACGTTTTAGCAAACGCAAGCAGCCTGTTTATCCATGCTTAGTTGCATACATATTCTTAAAACATCTGTATAGGTCAAAGTATCTGAATAAATACTTCACGACCTATCGAGTTCATACCGTGTGTGGGTATAGTGTTGAGAGAGGGAAAAAAAGAAACATGGATCACGAGCTGAGTTGTAACTTTCTGAAGTGTAGGCGGCGCCTAACTGGTTATGCGTGGGTAGGTGACCATGTGGCTAAATCAGGTTGCAGGCGTCAGAATTAAGGATATTTGTTTTGCTGTGTATCATTCCTTTATCGCGAACACTCATTTTTTTGAGCCTAGGACACGTATGTACTTAGTAGAACAACGTCCGCTTCAGTATGTACAAAACATCCACTTCAGTATAACAACACTCATCCGATTGCACGCGGTTTGCAAGACGAGCTGTCTTGACGCATTTGTGTATTTATTTGAGGTATATGAGTACCTAGACTGAGCTCGTATAGACACGTGGCAGATCAATGTATAGCTTTAAGTGGTAGACTGTGCCTTCAATCATATAGGGCACATGTATCGTTCGTTGCCTTTGCTGGATAAACCTGGCATATGAACCTAGCAGTTGCAGAAGAATTGACCTGCACAAATATTTGTTCTATGTGTATAGCCCACAGTCGTTTCACGGCGTCTTCCAAAGTGCAAGAGTGTCTGTAGAGGACTTTTGTGTGTCACATACTACGAATTAAAATCAAAACGCTAATGGATGAATCGGCAAGTAGATATGACTGCGACCAAATTTTGAGTATTTAGTCATAGATAGCCCACATATGTCGTATCTTTTCGGGACAATAACATACGACAGGTATATTTACTTGACAAAATAGTGTTTGTCGATATCGCCGAAATTGACTGTATTTGCACGAAACAATTGTTAACTTCTGGAGTGCGAAAACTCTTCTCACGTCGATTATCCTCCCCTATCGGTTTCGCTACAGGTTACTTCGTGTTCTCGTAAGATCCGAGTGAATTTTCGACTGAATGATGGGAGCCTTTGTGCAAACTTCGCACACAAGCTGTGATACACGTTTCTCGATGACGTATCCTACGCGGTCCTGCTATTTGATCTGTACCAAGCGTCGACATCAGCAATGACATGGAAGGCGCCTTCTTTAGTGCGTGCTATGGATTTTACTCGCACTGATGAAGTTGAATTTTCTGCCACAGATATCTTCTGCGATGAGGACGGTAACAGAGAATTCTCGAAGGCATATAAGTGTCCCGCATGTAAGTCGGTGTTTTCGAAGTTGGAACTATTCATATCAGGTACCCGCAGTTGCTGTATTGATTGCTCACTGTCTTAATATATATATATTTTTTATGTCAGTGTCTATCATTTCATACATTGAAATTGTCATATCAATATACCGATCGCATCGGCGACAGCCTCTGAATGAAAAATGAAAACGACTTGAGTATCAAAACAATCTACACGGGAGGTTCTTTGATAGTGTATATGTTTGAAAGAAAGTGGAAAAGTATTCTGGATTGTACGCGTTTCTCACTTGGTCGCTTTCCACTCGCACTGCTAAGGCTCCTCTCAATTGACCGGCCAGTGCGATATAGTCAGAGTTGATTTAGCACCGTCCGAACAGTACAAAAGTGTAAGTCGTTCAGCTTATTTTGCTTCACATGTAATGGTACTGATGCGTGGATGCGTGCTGAGGATACTAACAATAAAGCAGATAGCTCAACAATAGCCGATACAATTACTACATATTCGATTCCAATCGAATGGCTGTCTTTTACTTCGTGAGCTCTGTAGGCCCACCGCTTTACAAACAGAGCGGTCGGTGCGGGATTCAGATACCACTTATGCATCATGGTAAAATAGCTCGTCATTCTAAGTTTGAGTGCGATATCGGGTTTAGCTGCGGCGATATATGATATCTGCTCTGACATATTTTATATAACGCAGCGAAGAGCGATACCTGTGAGTCGTATCGGCTAGGTTTATGTGAACCGTCTATAATGATCTGGGCATTCAGCTTTCCAATATCAGTATGTTAGTCTACCTGATTATGAATGTCGATCTCTTCTCGATTAGATGATTCTAACGGGACTGAAACCCGATGTGGTGATTGAAGTCGCGCAACGAGCGGTATCCTTCTGGAATTATCAGGTCTGTGCCAAAGTAGAGTTATATTGTAGGTAATATGTACACGGTTATATATCACGAGTCTGATTCTAAATTATCTGCTTTAAATAAATGTCGGATTTCCCTGTACACTGGAAGGGAAGATGGCTATACTTGTGCTCACTACGGACTACGTCTATTTTGGAAATCTGTGACCTATGTTTCAGGTCTGTTGGTATAACTTATTCCAGTATATATTGTATCTGTTTATCACTGAGGTTGGAAAAATTTGGTGTATGCTATAAACTAACCTTCCAAAATGTCAGTGGGTGAATGAATTGGGAAATCACAAGAAGGGCAGTAGAGGACATATCATGTCATCTGTGAACACGGATTGGATGTTTGAGTGTATTTTACCTTATATGAACAGATTTCAATGTAAAACCGTAGTCTGGCTTGCTATGCGTTGCTACTCGAGAGTATTGTTGGCACATTGATGCTTGCTATACGAATGCTTTAACCAGAAAGCTAGAGAACAGACTCGCCCCTAAGCCGATCATTGAATTTTCGAATTTGGACTTTTAATAAATCTATGTCATAGACATGGATGCGAAGTGCTTCATCTTGAATTGTATCACCTACATAGACTATGTGTAATTTCTACTCCGGAATATATAATGTTAGATTTCGCCCGGTCTGTGGCGGAACGAACTTGTGTGACAACTCTACAATTCAATTATATGCGGGATCACATTTGGTGGTCGTCATTGTCGCCGGTAAACTTGATTTAACAGGTTTATGCATATTTTATCATCGAATAGAGTACGAAAGGTGTGTTCGAGAAAAGCTCAGTCTCGATTTCACGAAATATTGTGTGTGTAACTGGCCGAAGATTTCACAGTACACTTAAAGCGCTTCGTCGCAGCTATTTTGAATTTTGAATTTCATGGAGATTTTGACAGCGACTGAGTATCATGGTGTGTCGAGAGCATTTAAGTAGATGTGCTGACTGTTTGGAGCAACGAAACTATTACAAATTGCGGTATACCGCATTAGACACGAATTCGTAAATACTATAGCAGGAAACACGGGTACACTAAAATGGTCTTATAGATTAACACATGTCGCCGATTAAGTATCCACTTGTGCTTGGCTCAAGAGATACAGAAATTAAGCTCTGAGGACTTCGATAGATTTTTCTTATGATGTCATCCACTCCGCACAATCTTAACATACGGTGTGATAATTCGTTGAACACACCCAAGATGTTCCAAGAGCGTGCCTACCAGGAACACAGCTGCGAGAAATATAAGAAGAAAATATACGAAGCACAACAGTATATGCATGACATGAAGACTAAGTACACTTCTGAACTTCAAGGTATGATTGTAATTTCGAATGACTGCGAAAACCCCAAGAGAGTATAATGTCACTATCAAAACATACATCTGTCGGCAATTCCGCTCGTATACAAGGCTCAAATTGCCCTGATCACAAAATTTGCTTCTGTAGGCGATATGAAGTCCAGACACGCGTGCGCGATATTTCTCAATTATTGTATTATATCTCAAGCTCAGACCGGAAATGATATGAATTGCCATTTATAGGTCGCACACTCCAGTCGTTCACAACGGAGTTCCACCTCACGCTTTGTTTCCTTGCTTCTAATACTGGGGAAATTGTATAAAACACATAGCCGATCGCATATTTATGCTGTTCTAATCCAATATTGTATTATTTTTGTGCATGTCTTGGCTGAAACAGGTTACAAGCTGAAGTTGGAAGGTAAGTCTTTTCACTCCATAGATGCCGATCATTGATGTGATATTTCAGCGAGTAAGAGAGTTCGTGAAACTCACTGTGCTAATGACAAGCAGGACATAGTAATTCAACAACTTGAGTCAGTTTGGAAATCTGTTGACAATAAGAGCACAAGGCGACCCCTTTGTTAGAGCTCCATTTTCATTGGAAGATCGGTTGAAACCTCTTACAGAGGTGCAAAACAAGGTGGTGGAAATGGAGGGCACGCTGCATCAGAAAGAGGCTCAAGTCAACGATCTCACTCGACGTTTCCGTAATCAGCAGGTATGATTTGGGTGCAATTTGCTCATTGTGTTCGCAAGATAGGATGTTGGGGTCCTTTTCAAGCATCAGAAACGTGATTAACTTTTTCTCCATTACTGACATCTAGCAATAACCTTCTCCTACGTCCCACTTCGAAATGGCCAAGTATATGTTCAACGAACTCAAGATGAAGTCAAACAATCTGTCCGCAACAAGCCTATCTAGGAAAGATAAGGAAAATGCCCCAGATTTGGGTATGAATTATCCGACAATCTTCTTTGAATTTTGGTACTGTTGCAGTCCATGATTTTGTTTTTGGACGAATTGTTCCAATGTACGATGACGATGCATGATTCGGGCTACGTGACCGAGAAATAGGATACGACTTATAAACCGTCAACGTGTTATCGCGTAAGTGAGACACACACCCTTAGCCTCACTCCCATGCGCTCGGTTTAGTACAAATTAGTAGGATTGAATGATATTTTAACTGCTGGAAAGCCGTCACTACGATTGAGTCTGAAGCAAGAAGCTGTACATCATTGATACTGCAGAATCAAGTATATATTACCGTTCACCATCGATTACCAAACGTCAACGATCGAATCCGCACACACAATAACTATACATGCTGTATAATCAACAGGAGCCGGTCCAACTACACGCCCATCTCAGCCATTGCCCCAAGCGATGCCGGGCACGCCGATGCAGCTAATGTCCGCAAGAGGCAATTCGTTGCCAGCTTCTCAGGTCAACAATCTTAACAACAAGGCGCGCATGCAGTCATTTGGTATGTGCTGCAAATGTCTTGGGTGTATACACAGTATTTGGGTGGCTGCATACGGTTCGTTGGTATGTACACAGAGCTGGCGATACGGATCTATTGTTATTCAGTACGTAGATGCGTTTCAATGGATGTATACGGCCGTTAGGCGAGTCCAAATGTGTGATTGTGTGACTCTATTTCTACAGCCTTTCCTGGGGCAAATTTTGCCATTCCGGACAACAGCAAATGGACAGCCAAAGTGCCCAAATATTCAAACAGTGCAGTCGCTGCGCTGGGCTTACGATCGAGCTATGGTGAGTGGCTTCTGCAATGTACCTTTTTTTGCGTGCACAGAGGGATGGAAGAAACTCTCATCATATTGACCCCTGCATACGAATTTATAGCTTGCAATACACCTACAGTATTTTGATTCTCAAGACGACAAGTTCAGGGAAAACTAGCCAATTGCAAACGCATTAGTCCTCGTACTCAGCAGTGCATTATCGTGCATATTAGGTCTGATGTAGCCTATGCATATTCTTATAGGTGATGCACGCACAAGTTGTAACCATACGAGGCAGCCTTCTCACATATTTTCCAATCTCTGTGCGCGACACTCCCACGAGATCTATACTGACTATACACCGTAGTGGAGAAATTCTCGCACCCTCAAATTGTATTTCGTGGTATATCCAATACCTTCTTCTTTGGCAACTTTGGCGCCTGTTTTCGACTAATCGGAACAGAGCGCGCCTCCATTCCGAACGGGTTCTCGGCCCAGAATCACATGAGTGCCTCCCCTCGACGACGTAAGTTACCTACAATATCGTACTCAGCATAGGTCAGGGATATAGTCTGGCGGGGCCTGTTTTATCATTGTTACCTGCTAGAATAATAAAATCGCAAAACATCGCGTAGTCTGTCTTGCGAATGCTGCGTACATCACATTCACATTACAAAATAAAAAACGAGCTGCACAGAATACAGTTCACTCATTGGCCAAATTCATACTCCACAGCCATAACTCCTGCAGCTCCCAATCTGCCTTCGCGACCGCAAACACCTAGTCTGGGCCGAGCTTTGGCGGCGAGACGCGAGCAGAAGAAAACCAATAGCATGACTTAAAGCAGGGCAGATACAACAAAACGTTGCATAGTATAACCAAAACATTGCGGGGTCCTCAGGCAAAGCTAAAACTACACATGTTCAGGATTAGCGATAGTTTGCGTGACTACATAATTTCTTGAAGAAGACGGAAACAGACATTAAAACACATAACCCCTGAAACAAAAATCATGAGGATACGGGAGAACAGCGATGCGTTGACCATGTCTTTGTGACAAGATACGGGCAGAAGGAGTTCCAGAAAGAGACTTTTAAAGAAGGCACTCGGTATTGTACAAATTTGGCGATTGATACGCGGTGAGAGCTCTCGTTCATCTAAAAAAAAACTTTTTATACGCCATTGATGCAATAGAGTGGGGAGAACAATGTCCTTTTACTTAAAATATTGATGGCATTGTACGAATTCCGCTAGATTACAAGACAGGCGTGATAAGTAGAATGCGAGACGTATATCTACCCTTCAGGAAGCGTATTTTCGAAGCTATGCTTGCAGTGGGTATTGCATAAAAACATCGACAAAACAATCACTAGATAAACCACACTCAAAACTGAACAGTAGCAATTGTCACATTTTTTGACAAGTGGACGATAGGTTGGAAATGAATGATGCACAGGATGCAAATCCACCGAAAACCATTTATAAAATTTAATGACATTGATGAATAGAATTGTATTTTTTTAAATGACGATCTTTGAGGATTGACGGCTTACTATTACGTTGTTCGCAAGCTTTTGGCAACTCAGTACTCATAGTCTACTGCTAGAATATCCTTGGCGAATGGGAGAATGTACTTTTCCTTTACCGCTGTATGGAAGGGATCCACAGCGTAAGATTCCAGATCTGCTTTGTCGTTGCAGATCACCGTCAAGGCGACTTCGAACCCTACAAGATATTAACGAAATAGAAGCATCAGATAGTCGTGTAAGGCGTTAAGGGGGATGGGTAGGCCTAATTTGAGTATTTGAAACTTGCGGTATTCATCATATACAGAACGTGATTTAATTCTGATTTCGTCTCTAAAATTGTAAAATCAGCTCACAAGTGTCACGTCTAACTCCCATATACAACGACCGTTTAATTTCAAATCTGAGCATACGCGACCAGATTTGGAAACTGTTGTATTCCTTCACGAATACGGATGAGCAGGGAACGCAAAAAAATAACAATTCTAGAAGAAACGGCGAGAAACTGGCGAAGCAGCTTTATTTAACTAACGAGGACAATACTTTGGTAGTATCTGACTTACGCGGACTTGGAGACCTTTAGAAAAATACGACTACGTTAGCGGAGCTACACTGGCAGCAATGTGTTTATTGCAAACAAATCGTGCTACCTGGCATACTTTAAACTATCTGGAATGAATTCTCTAACATGTGTTGCCGAAAATCAGTCCATCAATGTACTATATACAATTTTTCTCGCAAATCAGACTATCCGATCTATCCTCGAAGGACAATGAAATAGTTTGATTTTCAATGAAACGATAAGTATGATATCCGAGCTTTTCAACAAAGCAGTTACACACAGACACAGGCACAAACTGATGCGTCTATATATGGTATGAAAGACATAGATAAAAGACCCGAATCAAGCAACGAATGCTCGAGTACCCACAGTTCAAAATAACGCTTGGGGTATATACAGGAAGCAATGTTAAACACACTAAATACAACTATCTACAGTAGATTATATAAATATGTAACTACACAGACGAAACTTCATCCTGCTATATTTGGAATTGATATACACGTCGGAACTGATGTTGAAATCATTTTACTGTGTATACAAGCATATATTTGACTGATACAGGTATCAAAACAACATGCAAAAACATATAGATAGAATGTAAGCACATCAATCTGTAAATATATATATATACGTGTCTCTATCAAGTATGAAAACAATTGAGGATTTTTAGCATACCTATGCATATATCACATTCTATTATAAACAATTATAAAAGTTAATACATAAATATGCATAAAATTGGATTTTATTTTAACAAATAAAATGTATATATATATATCTAGATATACATATACATATACATATACATATACATATATATATATATATATATATATATATTTACAAATTTACATTTATACATATATATTTGTATATATATATATATATATACAAATATACATATATATACATATATATATATACCTATGCATACATGTATATATGTATATATATAAATTTACATATATATATATACTGATGTAAATTTATATTTATATATTCATATATATATATATATATATATATATATATATATATATATGTATATATATATCAAATAACAATGTCACAATATAACAATATAATAACATACATGTGATAATAATAATAATAATGATAAGAATATGAATAAGAATAAGAATATGTATATATATACATACATACATACATATATATATATATATATATATATATATATATATATATATAATATATATATATATAAATATATGTATATATACATACATACATATACATATATATATATATATATATATATATATATATATATATATATATATATATATATACGCTTTGACAATTACGATCAAATACACGTTCGTACAGTTCATACAATACGTAGTGACATGTATGTGGAAAAATGTGACAGCATATAGTTGCATCGTATAAGTTGGGAGATATTGTGAGGTCATTGAGACTGATATATAAACATAGTTGACACTTCAATAGCACA